CCCCCCCCCCCCCATACCCCCCCCCCCCCCCCAAAAGGTGCAGGGCACATGGTCCCCATGAGGCTCATGGGAACCCACTGGGTTAATCCCCTCCATCCTCAGAAATCGAGACGTTTGCCTCTTCGGCTGGGAGTCCATCGCCCGCTGCAGATATTCTGGGTCATTCAGGCGAGCTCTAAATATAGCTTTGCAGGATACAAACAAATAGCTTGAGCGCAGCAGAAAGCACAGCCATGGCTTTCAGCAGCCCACTCAGAGGTCCTGCAAAATATTCGGGAGTCTCAAGCCTTTTATCTCCTTAGCAGGGGGGGAAAACAAGCGCTGGGCCAGAGCAATGCCGGTCGGGCATCAGCTTCCCGAGCGGTGTGGGAAGGGGCACAGCATGGAGCCCTCTCCCTGCAGGAAGGCCGGGGTCAGGGTCATGCTCTTTGCTGGCGGTTCCCAGGCTCTGGCTGAGCCCCGGGCTGCTCTGCTTTCCCTCTCTGCTGCTCTGACAAGCTGATAAGCGAGTGGAGGAGGCTGCTGGGACCTTGTGTTTTACAGAGCCCTCATCGGCATGTCTGGAGGACTCCTTGGACAGCTTGCTTTTGGCTTGTTACAATTCTAAAGCTGACCCAAATAATTCAGGATGCTTGGATAGCTCAGTTTTTGGATGCGGGAAGCACTGGCTCCCAATGCCTTTGGTCTCCGCTAGTTTAAGTGGGGCTTTCTGGCTTCCCATTGTCCTGGAGGCTCCATGCTGGCTCCTGCCCACAGGCACCATCACCATGAGCATGTAGTCTCCATGAAGCCTCCAGCCTGGTGACCGTCTTTCCTGTCCCCATCCTGCAGCTCTTCCCAAGCTGTGGGGCTGCTGGGGGCTCCGGGACCATGCCAGGGCTGTGCCCAGGGTGGGATGGCTAAAAGTAGCTCTGCCTCCTGCCTGTGTTCCTGTTTCGGTTCTGCACAGGAAACCAGAGGGGATATTTATGTCATTGCTGGGCAGAAAAAAAGAAAGAAAAAGGAAACAGGGAGGTGGCAGGGCCGAAATAAGTAGTTGTGGAGCTGCAGCTGCTTCCACCCTGCGTGTCCAGCAGCCAGGCAGTGCCGGCATCCTAGGGTGACAGCACAGGGGTTGAGCCGGGGTGCAGGGCTTTCCCAGGCAGCTGGCAGCATTTTGGAGCCCCGGTTCAGCAGCAAGCCACTGCGGGTCAGGACATCACACCATGTCTTTCCTTTCCTTCCAGAGAAGCTGTACAATTCGCAGGGGCCTGAGCTGCGGCGATCCCTCTTCTCCCTCAAGCAGCTCTTTCAGGTACAGTGATGCTGGCGTGGTGGGGGGTTCGGGGGGGGCTCCCCCAGGGCTGGCTGCTGGCCTCTGCCTCCCCACGCTGTGGTAACCCCTGGCCTTCGCCCTGCAGGAGGACAAGGACCTGGTGCCGGAGTTTGTGAACCTGGATGGGTTGACGTGCCTGATTAAAGTGGGGACAGAGGCCGACCAGAACTACCAGAATTACATCCTCCGGGGTTGGTATTGGGGTGCAAGGCACCTCTGATCCCCTGGGAGGAAGGCTGGCACTCAGAGGGGCGAGCAAGCAAGTTTGCCTGGGCTGCCTTGCAAGCAGCTGCCAGAGCTTGCCCATGTCTAAGTGATGCTGCATGGGGCTGGGGAAGCCCTACCCCTGCCTGCTGCAGCCCTGCCCACCGTGCTGTGACCCTGCCCGCTCTCTGCCTTGCAGCCTTGAGCCAGATCATGCTCTTCGTGGACGGGATGCAGGGTGTCATCAACCACAACGAAACCGTCCAGTGGCTGTACACGCTGTCGGGAAGCCCGGTAAGCCCCTGCTGCCCTTGGGGGGCTGCCTGTGCCCCCTGCTGCACCCCACTTCCCCACCTATGGCTGTCCCCTTGCACTGTCCCTCAGGGGATTTACCCCACGCTGCCTTTGGGCTCAGTGCCCTGGGTACCCTTGAGTATGTTGGGTCCTGCTCCCACCCATCTGAAAGTCACGCAGCGTCCCCAGAGCTCCCCGTCCTGATGTGACCGTGCTCCTGGACACAGAGCTTGAGTAAGAGAGGGTCCCACTCTGTGTCCCTTCCCGGTGCCCCTTGGCCATCAGCATCACAGGCTGGTCCCTGGCCCCATGGCAAAGCCCCCCAGCCCTGGGGCATGGGCACAGCCACCCCGCAGTACCCTGGCATTGCACTGGCAGCCCCATGTCACCGTCCCAGCCACCGTCCCTTGTCCCAGTTTCGCCTGGTGGTGAAGATGGCGCTGAAGCTGCTGCTGGTGTTCGTGGAGTACACAGAGCCCAATGCCCTGCTCCTCATCCGTGCCGTCAACACCATCGACCAGGCGAGAGGTGGGTGCAGACCCAGCTGCCTGCGCGGTCCCTGCCGGGGGACGGTGTCCCCCCCACGGCTCACTTGTTGCCTTCGCGTGTTGCTTTTCTCAGGCACGTGCCCATGGTCCAACCTGATGGCTATCCTGGAGCAACGCAACGGGGCTGACACGGAGCTGCTTGTGTTCGCCATGACACTGATCAACAAGGTCCAGGGGGGTGGCAGGGCATCCCTGCGATGCCAAGCTGGTGGGGCTCGGCATGGGTCACACCGGTCCCAGCAGCATCCCTCTTGTCCTGCTCAGACACTGGCAGCCCTCCCAGACCAGGACACCTTCTACGACGTGACGGACTGTCTCGAGCAGCAGGGCATGGAGCGGGTGGTGCAGCAGTACCTGGGCAGCAAGGGCACCGACCTCGACTTGAAGCAGCAGTTCACGCTCTATGAAGTGAGTGGGGCTCCCGCAGGACCTGGCCATGTGCCATGTCCCGTGGCAGTGGGGAGGGCAGGTGTGTGGGGTGGCAGGGGCGCTGTGCCCGGTGCCATGCCCCCCCGGCCTCTCTGCAGAGTGCTCTCAAGCTGGAGGATGGTGTGGAAGAGCCGCCCTCAGGGGGACGCAAGGAGCGGAGGAGGACGGAGGAGGGCCGGCGTGGGTGGCGATCCCAAGGCAGCTGCCCGGAGCCTGGCCCCGATGCCCAGCCGCTCCTGGGGTCCCCTGGCACCCCAAAGGAGCCCCCCACCGAGGACACCCCATCCGTCTCCATGCCGAGCAGCCCAGCAGAGTAAGTACAGCTTACTGTGGCGAGGATGCTCCTGGGATGGTGAAGATGCTGGGATGCAGCAGGAGCAGCTCTTGAGTCCATTCCTACTGCCAGGGTGGAGGGCAGCCCTGCAAGACCTGCTCTCAGTCCCTGTCCCCTCTTCTTCCAGACCCTGTCCCGGCAGCATCTACAAGAATGCGTCCAGCGTGCGGCTGGCCCTGGCCTCCCCATCAGCCGAGAAGGAGCAGCCCCTGGGCCCGGGCGAGCGCAGCGTTTACAAGTAAGCAGCTGGGAGGGTCTGGGTGCACAGGGGTCCCCCTGGGGCTGTGAGGGAGCTCCCAGGGAGAAACAGGGTCTGGGCAGGCACTGGGGCTGGAGAGAACCGTGACAGGGGAGTGGGCATCTGAGAGGGTCCGGCCAGGGGCTCCAGGGTATCCTTCAAGCGCGCACAGCTCTGCTCCAGCTCCTCCTTGCTGCTCCTCTCTGCCCACGCTTGTCCTCTCCTCTGCCTACTCTTTCTATCTTTCCTTTTGCAGGCTGCACCAAACTGCCCCTGTCTGGTAAGTGCCCGGGCTCTGCAAGCGTGTGCTCCCTCCCGGCGTGATGCTCTGGCAGGAGCGGGCACTGCCCTGCCCTGCCCCACTCGCTGCCCCTCACATCCACCTTGCTGCCCCCATCCCTTACCTCTCCCCTCTGAGCCTTGCCTGCGGGACCCCAGCCCGCTCCCCCCATCGTCAGCATCCCCAACAGGGTGATGGCACCCTCTGATCCCCCCCTTCTGGGGTGAGGTGTCCCTGCTGGGGGTGGCACAGCCCACCCCGGGGCTGGCAGGGGGCTGGCATCACCGTCCTGGTGGCAAACTGGGTGGCTCTAGTGGGGGGCATGGTGCACCATCTCGCCAGCACCCAATGCCATGCAGTGCCCAGGCAGGAGGGGACTCCCTAGGGCTCTCCCAGCTCCCTGTGAACCCCAGGGCCATGGGGTGACGGCGGAGCAAAAGTCCCATGCTGGAGGGTTGCCAGGCGGGTGCGTGCAGGAGGCATGAGCCCCGGGGAGCTGCTGGCAGTGGGGACTAACCCCTGTTTTCCCTCAGGCGGGAGGATGCCCCCTCCTTGCATGGGGACAAGCCTATTTTGAGGAAGTTTGAGTAAGTAGAGGCATGCGTGTGTCTCCAGGCATGCACTTCCTCAGGCCAGCGTGCAACTGGAGGTGTCCAGGCTCTGGCCATGCAGGGCACGAGGAGCAGGAGGGTCGCCACGAGTCTCTGCCCAGGCACCCTCCTGGGTTTTGCAGCTTTTGGACGAGGGTCACAGTGAGCACCAGGTCCATTGGGACCAACGGGTGACAGTGGCACCCTGACAGCATGAGCCTTCGGCTCCCATGGGGCAGCGGCATCCCTGTCCCCAAGGCGTGGTGGCATCACCTGTCACTCTGCAGGGCTCAGAGGAGGTTGAATCCTCCAGGTCCCTGATGCAGTGTGGCCAGTGCAGGGGGTTTCTGTGCTGTGGGGCTGGCTGCGCAGTGTGGCATGGTGTGGTTTGCCTATCGTCTCCATTGTCCCCATCCCTGCCTTGCTCCCTGCCAACATCCACCCCTGTCTCACAGAGCTCGCTTCTTGGAGAACCTGGCTGCAGCCCAGAAGGAGAAGATCTCTTCCATGGCCAAGGGATGGCTTGATGTCCACGGCAATGCTGCATTGGAGCATCCCACCGCTCTCACGTGGGACAGGGACAGCAGCACCCCTGAGCATGGGATGGAGCCACCCAGCATAAGTAGGTGCTGCCGGGGTGTGTGTTCCCACCTCTGGGCTCATCGGGGTCCCTAGGGTGGGCATTAGTGGCCCCTCTGCCCCCAGCCCATGCCTGTGATACCCAGAGACATGGAGGACCTGGGTGGTGCCTCCCCATCCCACTCTGAACGCCGGCATCCGAGCACACCCCACCGGGGAGCAGGAGCCCAACTCTATGTGCAGCCCAGCAGCACCTGCTCACTCCAAGCAGGCTGTCCCAGCCTCTCCCCCTCTCCCTGCAGGGTCTCGCCTGGCTCAGCCGGACACCACTGACTCCTGCAGCACCATCTCCTCTGACACCAGGTTTATGCTGGACATGCTCTATGCCAAGGGCTCCTCTGAGCTGGGGAGAGAGAAGGTCTTCCCTGAGGTCCCATCATGCCCCCTGGTCCAGGGTGAGGTGGAGATGGACGCCATGGGAGGTGGCAGCCGGGAGCAGGAGGGCACCTGGCTCCGTGGCAGGGCTCCAGATGGGCCAGTGGCCAGTGCCCACGCCAAGCTGGCACGTGCCATGTCCAGCATAGATGCTGAGACCCATACGCAGAAGCTGGAGAACACCGGGATGATACCCATCAAGAAGGACGTGGAGCTGACATGGGAGCGCCTGGAGGCCAGCCCTGTGCAGCTGAAGATCAAGGACTTGGACTTCACTGATTTGGGAGAAGAAGACGACTTTGACATCCTGGACACAGGCCCCATGGCCAATGACTCCTTCCACCCTCCTGGCATTGAAGCAACGAGCGCTGGAACTCTCACGGTTCCCCCTCCACCTCCTGCCATCCCTGGCTGCCCACCACCTCCACCTCCTGCCATCCCTGGCTGCCCGCCCCCCCCAGGGCTGCCAGGCCCCTCAGCAATGGATGGCCCCTCCCAGGCCAAGAAGAAGAGGACAGTGAAGCTCTTCTGGAAGGAGCTGAAGCAGCTGGATGGCACTGTGGGGCTGGGCAGGTTTGGCCAGGCGACACTGTGGGCATCCCTACAGAACGTCGAGGTCAATGCTGCCAAACTGGAGCATCTCTTTGAGTCGCGGTCAAAGGAAGTGCCAACTTCAAAGGTACCAGCGGGCTGGCACCTATTAGCCAAGGGGACTCGTGGGGTGGGAGGAAGGCTGTTAGTTCCTGTGGGGACCCTAGGCATGCACTGTCACCCCTACCCTACGCTGAGGGTAGGTATCCACAGCCCAGAGGCTCGGTGGGGATGGTGATGGGCAGTGTGCAGGTTTGGCTCACCACCAGGTGCCTGATCGGCTCCCCGTGTCCATGGTGTTTTCATGAAGGTGAGCCCTTTGCCTGGCTGTCTCCATCCATCCTGTTCTCTTTGCAGAAGGCCATCGATGGGAAGAAGGTCGTGGTGGTGCTGGACCCGAAGAGGAGCAATGCCATCAACATTGGCCTCACGGTGCTGCCACCCGTGCACATCATCAAGACGGCCGTGCTCAACTTTGACGAGTTTGCAGTCAATAAGGAAGGGATTGAGGTGAGCACGAGAGAAGCTTGGCCCCTCATGTGGGTGGTTTCCCCTGGCCAGGAGGCCTCCATGTCTACGCTGCCAACCCTGGGGTGACACATCCCATGGTGACATGTCTGGAGTCTGACACATCCCTCTTTGCCTGCTCTAGAAAATCCTGACCATGGTCCCGACCGAGGAGGAGAAGCAGAAGATCCAGGAGGCCCAGTTGGCCAGCCCTGATGTGCCCTTGGGCTCTGCGGAGCAGTTCCTGCTCGCCCTGTCTTCCATCAGTGACCTCACAGCGAGGCTCCAGCTCTGGGCCTTCAAGCTGGACTACGAGAGCCTGGAGCAGGTACAGAGCCATGTACCCCATCTGCCCTCCACCCCCCAGCAGTGCTGAGCGCTGAGCCAAGCGTGTTCCTGGTGGGGACCAGCCATGCCCAAGTACAGGAGGTGCCATCCTGGCTGGGGACAGGTCCCCAAGGCAAACATGGGCTTGGATTGACCGTGAGGTAGTTGTCCTCATGGGCAAGGGCGAATACTGAAGCTCCCAAGGGAGAGGGTGGCCAAGGGGTCTCACCTGCCTCTCTCCTCATCCAGGAGATTGCAGAGCCACTCTTTGATCTGAAGGTGGGCATGGAGCAGCTGGCCAGAAATCACACCTTCAAGTGCATCCTGGCCACACTGCTGGCCATGGGCAACTTCTTGAACGGCTCCCAGGTGAGGAGCAGGGTGCAGAGGGATGTGGCCTCTCTTGAGTGCTGCAAGGACAGGACCAGCCATGGTGCATGGGTACCCAAGATGGACCATGGGAAGCCTGGGACAGCACCTGAGGCTGTGTGGTGCTGGTGGGGGCCCAGTGGGTCTGCAGACTGGAGAGTCTGCTGGAGGAGGGATGGAGAGGCCCTTCTAAGTCCATTGGGGTTTCAGAGCAGAGGCTTTGAGCTGGGCTACCTGGAGAAGGTCTCAGAAGTGAAGGACACAGTGCACCGGCAGTCCCTGCTCCACCATCTCTGCCAGATGGTGGTAGAGAAGTTCCCAGAAACCACTGACCTCTACTCGGAGATTGCTTCCATCACCCACTCTGCCAAGGTGAGGCAAGGCAGATGACACCCGGGCAAGGCAAGGATGTGGGTCCCATGGCTGCCCAGCTCCACCAGCATGGCTGACATCTTGCTCTTCCAGGTTGACTTTGATGAGCTGGCAAACAGCCTGGTGCAGCTGGAGCGGAGGTGCAGGGCCTCCTGGGACAACCTGAAGGTGATTGCCAAGCATGAGACCAAGCCAGTGCTGAAGAGCAAGCTGACGGACTTCCTCAAGGACAGCACCCAGCGGATTGTTGTCTTGAAGGTGGTGCACAGGCGTGTCCTCAACAGGTCAGTGGCTCAAGGTCCTGGGGATGCAGTGGGAACCCTACAGTCCCATTGGTGGCCCGCTGTGACTGATGTCCCCACAGGTTTCACTCCTTCCTGCTGTACCTGGGGTACCCAGCGAGTGCAGCACGGGATGTGAAGGTGACGCCCATCTGCAAGCTGCTGCGGGAGTTCGCCCTAGAGTACCGCACCTGCCGGGAGCGTGTCCTGCAGCAGCAGAAGAAGCGGGCTGCCCACCGCGAGCGCAACAAGACCCGGGGACGACTCATCACTGAGGTACAGGGACACTTGGCTGGCCACCACCACGAGGTGATGCCCCCCCAGATCCCCAACACCCACTTCTCCCGCTGCAGACTGAGAAGTTCTCTGGCATCACCGAGGCCACTTCGCCACCCGCCGTGGTGTCCAGTGGCCCCGAGGAGCAGATGGAAGCAGGTCACGAGAGCATGAAGAACGTGCTGACCTCCCCCACAGATGCCCCTGTGCGCCGCAGCCGGGCCAGCCAGGGTAGGAGTGGGGTGGCAGAGGCACTCAAGGCACGTCTGGCTGGCTAGGCACGGCTGATGCCAGCATCCCCATTGTCCTGTGCAGGGACGGGGCACGCCATCCCAGCCCAGGGCTCTCCAGCCCAGGAGGACGTTCCCAGCTCCCCAGACGATGCTTCAGATGAAATCATGGATCGGCTGGTGAAATCAGTGACTCACAACGCCAACCCCCGGCCTTGCGCCAACAAGGAGCGCAGGAGGTCCCGTGGCAATAGGAAGTCCTGTAAGTCCTATCCCTGTCCCTGTGCCCTGTCCCATCTCTGTCCCCATGCTCTGCCTCTATCCCTGTACTCTGTCCCATCTCTGTGTCCAGATGCTTTTTCCCATCTTTGTGTCCCTGTCCCCTTGCCCTATCCCATCTCTGTGTGTCTGTCCCACCCCTGTGTCCCTGTGCCCTGTCCCATCTCTGTGTGTCTCTTCCCATGCTCTGCCCAGTCCCCAAACTCTGTCCCACCTCTGTGGTCCTATCTCTGTACTCTGTCCTGTGTCCCTGCCTAGATGTTCTTTCCCATCTTTGTGTCCCTGTCTCATCTTTGTGTCCCTGTCCCCATGTCATGTCCCATCTCTGTCTCCGTTCCTGTACTCTGTCCCCATGCCTTGTCCCATCTGTGTCCTTGTCTCCATGCCCTGCCTGGCTCCTTCCCCACTGGCTACCCCTGACCTCCCATGTTGAGCCCACCAGGCCACAACAGGAGGTACCCTGAGACCAGACCATGCCACTGCACTCCCTCCCCTCCCCAGCATGCCAGGGCCACCATGTCTGGGCAGGCACCCAGTGTGTGGGGACCCTGCCACATTCTCCTCTTCCTGCAGTGAGACGGACACTGAAGAGCGGGCTCAGCGATGACCTGGTGCAGGCGCTGGGCCTGGGGCGGGCACCTGGTATGGAGGTTTGAGGGGGCCGAGGGGGCTCGTGCTGCTCTCCACCACCGGCAGCGCCCAGGGCAGGACGTCGTGGCAGCCCCTGCTGCTCCAGGACTGGCACGCTCTGCACCCTTGGTCTCGCCTCTGTTTTCCCTGCTGGCTTCCAGCTCCTGGAGGTGCAGGCAGTGATGCCCCAGAGCTGCTCCATGGCGGCCGGGATGGAGGATGCTCAGCACCCATGCATGGGTGTGGAGGCTCGGGGTTCATCTTCTCAACAGAGGGGTCAAGGGGCTGGACCCAGACCCTCTCTGGGAACTGGGTCTGGCCCATGGCCCCTGTGGCAATAAAGTGATCTGACATGCTGCTGGTGTCACTTGTCCCTGCCCTTGGTCACCCCGCTGCTGGGCTGGGATGCTGGAGGCTCTTGATGCCATGGGCTGAAGCAGGCAGCGCTGAGGGCAGGGGCAGGAGGCAAGGGGTGATGCTCCCTCTATGACCCCTGGGGAAGCCATTGCCATGGTCCTAAATGGGACCTGGGTGATGTCACAGGGTTGGCCCTGTCTGGGGAGCTTGGTGTCCCTATCCCCTGCAGAGCCCCGAGAGGCCAGGGTGATGTGTTATTCCCCCTGGGTCAAGCCAGCATCCCTCCTGCTGCATGCCCAGCCCTGCTGCCCTGGGCAAGCACTCGGCCCGCAGCAGCCAGCCCTGTGGCTTGCAAGCACCATCGTCCCTCCCAGGGACAGTGCGATCCCCTCTGTACTGGGACACCCGGGAGGACCCTGCCAGAAGGACTGAGGACTGCTGCCAGGCTCAAGGCTGCATGCTCAAGGGCAGGAGCGGTGGCTTGAGCACAAGGCCACAGCACAGTAAAATCCAGAGTACATGCGCCGTCTCAAACCTCACCTCTCCCTTACAAGCCTCTCCTGGGGGATTTTAGCCAGACCAGGACCTGGGTCCAAGGTACGGTTGTTCCCCTCACAGAGTGGGTCCAGGGCACAGCAGCCACGTTGCCCCCTGTAAGCCTGGCCCTGGCAAAACTGCAAGCCTCGGAAACATCTCCCTGTGCTTGGCAGAGATGGGCTGCCTCATGATGTAACTGCAGCCAGGGCAGTATCTGCCTGTCCCCAATGGCTCGTGCCGTTCTGGGCATGGATTAAAACCCAGGCTGGATGCTGGCCGAGATGCTCCCTGCAGGTGCTACATGGTGGGTGGGTACCACTGAGCATCGCCCTCTGCCAGCTGCAGTGCTTTAGGCACTGTCACCCATGGCAGAGGCATTTGGGAACGATGTCACGTCATCCATCACGGCAGCTCCACCTCGGCGCTGCCCCAGTGCTGCCTCCAGCTGAATCCCGTGCAGCAGGTCTCTGCAGCTGTCAAGGAATGAAGAAAAACTCCACTGGGCAGGGCAGCTTCTTCCTCCGAGCTAACCTCTGCCCAGGGTTGTCCCTCTCCCACGAGGCTGGATGCACCGCTGATCTCGGAGCAGCCGGGCAGTGCCAGCCCATCCCAGCTTGCGAGGTGCCTGTGATGGTCTCAGGTGGCTTTGGGGACAGTGGGATGCCATGCGAAGAGCTGCAAGTGTCCCAAAGGTGCCCCAAGATGTGGTCAGGCTCTCCTCCCCTCCGGGTGCTTGGCTTGGGTCCCCAGAGAGAGGATGAAGAGGCCAAAAAAGGCAACATTGAGCTGCTCAGATGCACAGCAGGAAGGAGAAAGGGGTAGAAAAGCATTTGCTTGATCCCCTGCACCTGCCCCAGGTACTCAAAGTGACATTATACACGTGACAACCCCAGGACTGTCACTCCCAAGGGTTCACTGGGGGAAACTGAGGCAGGGTGCTGGTGAATGCCCCCCCGCCCTGAGTGGTTTGGTGGCACTCAGGGCAGCCGTGTCCTCAACTCAGGCTTCCACCAATCTGTTTTTTTTCCTAGTTGGGTTTTTTTGCAGCCTTGGTGATATTTCCAGGATGCCCGGCCCGGCCCCGGGCACACGCTGCCCTTGAGCGGCGCCTGAAGTGCTTGGCTTGGCTGTGGTGCAAGCAGCTTATGCCAAAAAAACACCAGGCAGACATGGCCCCCCGGGAAGGAGAGGGGGTGGCAGGATGCCAGAGACTCCTTTGCGAGTGGAGGCAGGTTCATAGGCTGCTGTATGAGGTTTGGTGGGGACCCGGGGCACATGTGGCCTCGAGCAGCATCAGCAGAGCTGGGGTTGGGGTGCTGCACCCCCAGGAGGATAATCCGGGTGGGTTGAGGTGACCCTGCTGGGGCACCTCATGGCACCTGGCACCTCCATCCCTGCTTCCATCCCTGCCTCCATCCCTGCCTGCACCCGGGCTCAGCCCCTGCGTGGCTCCTGCCCTGCCAGCCCAGGGCCACCAGCTGTGTCCTACTGCCACGAGGGGGCACGGCGGCCACGCACACGGCAAGGCCACCCGAAACGACGCTTCGCTTCGTGTCCCACCACTCTTCGGGGCGCTTGCCCGCCGGCCTTCAGTTTTCTGTTCTCCCCGTCCCTGGCACCCAGGGGGGCTGCACCCTGCTCCCCACCCCCGGCGAGGCATCCTGCCGCTTCTGTGTCCCTGGTGGAATGACAGCCACGTCCTTGGTCCCAGCCATTTGTCTGGCTGGCGGGGCCAGGCTCCTGTCCCCCTGTGCTCAGCCATCTCTCCAGCTTGTCCCTGGCCCCATCTCACCCTGGCCCCCTTCCAGGCAGTGGGGAGGAGCAGGGGACAGCGGGGACAAGCCTGGCTGCACTTGCTGTCGTATTTAGCCTCTTTGGTAGCAGTTTGTCAGCAGAGACCCACTCCCACCCCTTACAGAACCTGTGCTGGAAGATGTCCCCTGCTTCCTCCATCACACCCTGCCAGCCCTTTCCACAGGACTGTCCAAGCGCAGGGTCCTCTGCTGCCAAACTCTGAGGTTGGTTCCAGCCTTGTGCCACACGAGCACATCCCTGCTGCCTTCCTCAAGCTTGGTGGGGGACACACCACCTGCAGTCCTGGGCTCGTGGCTGCCACAAAGCCCCACCGCCTCGCACAAGAAGCACCATTCCTATCAGGAGCAGCACAACCTCACCTTTGTTCATGGGTTGGAGCCATCCAGAGTGCTTCTTGCAAGCGCCAGTGCACCCGGGCCACCTTCCAGGAGCATCAGGATCATCTGCCACCCCCCCACCCCACCCCCCAAATTCCTCCTACTCTCTCAGCTGGAGGACTACTCCTCTACCTCCTGGCCCCAGCCCTCTTAAGCAACCCCAGGCTGGCAACACGCTCCATTCTGCAACCACCTTCCCCACCAGGACAGAGGTGTGGGACAGGAACAAGGTCACAGGTGCCGTGACTTACTGCCCTCTCCCTGGGGGCAGAGGCAGCAGGATGACACCTGGAGTGTGGGCCAGCCAGATTCCCCTGGGAACTGTCTTGTGGCCAAGGGGGAGCCACATGTGCTCTGTCCCTGTCACCCTAATATCAAGGTAGATGCCCTGTGATGTGCATGGGAGAGACAGGAGATGGGAGGGTGATGCTAGGCTGGCAAAGCAAGCCTGGCACGTGTACCACGCATGCCCAGGGAGATGGGGGATGCAGAGTACCAGGCATTAGTGGATCTGGGAGCACTTAGGAGTGTCACCAATGCTCCCCAGCCACACTGAATGAGTAAGGTCCCTGCAGTCCAAAAGCAGCTCTTGTTTGGAGAACTGTGGTGCCGAAAGCCCAGCTGGAAAAGGGGCTGCCAAAGCTGCGTGGGCAAGCGGGCACAGCAACATGGGGTCCTTACCGGGGCAGAAAAGCTCGAGGTCAGGCTGGGGAGTGGCTTCCCAGAAGGTGAAACCTCTCCCAAAGCCATGAATGCGGCTGGAAGCAGAGCCGTGTTTTGTAAATACCTGGGGATCCTGTGCAACCTGAAAAAAAAACAAGTTGGAGGCAGGAATTTGCTGAAGACGAGGGGATTTTCAAAGAGCCAGATCCGGGGTCAGTGCTTGGCTGGATGCTCCTTGCTGCCAGCAACACTGCCCTGGGGAGCAGCCCTGGTAATCCCTGAACCAGCTGCTCCAGCCACAGCACCCTGAGAGCAGACAGGTCCTTCCAGGAACTGGGGAAAGGTTTGGCCTGTGCCCACAATCCAGCCAAGGTGTGTGGAAACCCCCCGCAAATGGAGGATCAAAGCCTGGGACTCAGGCTGATCCCACCAACATGGCATCAGATGCACGGGATGATGGGCACAAACGGTTGCCTGTGTTTTACAGCAGCAACACATAAGGAAAGCCCAAAAAAAAGTCCTCGATCATGGCCCGAAGTAAGTTGGAAACAATAGATGGAAAGTCCTGAGGGGAGAAGAGGGAGAAGATCCCAGCACAAGGAGTTAAAATGGCTCCTTGGGCAGCTGTGGCTCAGGTTGGCCATGCCACGGGAAGTGCCTCCAGGCTGGACTTTGGTAGACCCAGTTTTTCATGTCCTGGGCTTGGGGAAGGATCACGGGGACACTAAAGTGTTGGGTGCAGGAAAGGTTTCCTGGAGCTGAGCAAGGCTTAGCTGAATCACAGTTACCCGAGGATCTGCCCTCCCTGGAGAAGAAAGCTGCAATAACAGAGATCTCCCACTCTGGCAGCGAAGTCCAACCAGAACCAGTTGAACAGCACAAGTTCAGTGGTAGGACACAAATATTTGATGCTGGGAGTAATTAATCACTGTCTTCTGCAAGATGCTTTGGGCCAAAATGAGAGTTAATTCCAGACAGTGCAATGGCCTTTGTCACCCCTGAACTGTCTCCGGCCCCAGATGCCAACGGGCTCCAGTGTCCCACATCTTCACCATAATGAAGGATAGACCCACGTCCATCCCAAGGGCTCTTTGAGGACATGGTGTGGGAGAGAAGGAGCCCCATGTGCTTTAGTTAGCGAGGGACATTTCCAGCATCCCCTTCCTGGTGGGCTTGATGGTCCATGGTAGGTAGCCAGCCCACAAGTGACATCCAAGGGGGTCCCAGCCCCATGGTCGTCCCCTCTCCCGAGACATCTGCTCCCAGGGAAGGACTAT